GGAGAGCTTGTCCGCGGAAGTGTCGCGGACAAAGGCACAAGAGCCCCAGACCCGGAACACCGACGCATCGCCAACCTTCCCCGTCCAACGCAGTCTAGGCGAGGTCTCCGGCAAGGAGACACGGGGCCAGAGGTTGAGCTGATGCGCAGCGTACCGGACCGCAAACGGCAACAGAAAATGGGGGGCAGCCGCATGGATCATGGAGGTACGAGTGACCTCTATGACTAAGCCAATGCGGGGCTCAGCAACCCCCAGCAGGGCGGCGCGCTGGCAGGGCAGGGCGGCGCGGCGGCGAGCGGCGCGCAGGCAGGGCAGGTTGGCGAGCGGCGCGCAGGCAGGGCAGGGCGGCGCGGCGACGAGCGGCGCGCGGGCAGGGCAGGGCGGCGCAGAGGCGAGCGGCGCGCGGGCAGGGCAGCACGGCAGCGAGCGGCGTGCGGGCAGGGCAGGGCAGGGCAGGCCGTGCGCGGGCGGCGTGACGCAGAACAAGGCGCGCGCGGGCAGCGCGACGCAGGGCAGGGCGTGCGTGGGCGGCGCGACGCAGGGCAGGGCGTGCGCGGGGTGGCACGACGCAGGGCAGGGCGCGCGCGGGCGGCGCGACGGGGGGCAGGGCAGGGCAGCACGGCGCTAGCAGGGCGGCGCGACGGGCACGGCAGAGCAGCGTGCGGCCTGCAGGGCGGCGCGACGGGCACGGCAGAGCAGCGTGCGGCCTGCAGGGCGGCGCGCGGGCAGGGCTGGGCAGCGCGAGGCCAGCAGGGCGGTGCGACGGGTGGGATAGCGCAATACGGGCAGCGAGCTATACGGTGGGCCCTAAAAAAAACTGTCCTAGGAGAGGACCTGCTCTGAAACCATGTCAGAATACTAAGCGAGAATGGATGAACTAGAAACAAGGTGGGTACGAGTACTAACCCTAATTGGGTTGTACCCCATTTGGGCTACCCCACTACAGCCTACACAACACACAACATAACAGTTTGACAGAGGTGGCGAATGCGATTAGGATAGGGTCGGGTGGAGGTGGTGGAGAGAGCGGGAAACGCAGTGAGTGGGCGGGTGAGTGACTGGGGGAGTGATGAGGAGGGTGCTGCATAAAGGACGACGGGTGTACAAAATCAAGTGATTTGTTAGGAATGTGTGTGTGAGCTGCATTCTGTTTTTGAGGTAGTAGGAATATTTGTGTGTGTCTCTCAATTTCTTTGGCTGCCCTTGTATTGGTGCCCGTAGACGCCGGTTACCTATCCTAGCTCCCAGTGCCCCCGCTCGGGTCCCTTGGGGACCGAACGGTGGGTGCGTAGGACCCTTTTACCTCCTCTTTTGTATTCATGTCGATCATAAATTCAATGGACCATATGAGAGGGATGCGTCACTTTGGTCTCAGGCATCACTCCCCCCTATATTGTTTGCCTTGGCCTCACGGACCCTACTGCCAAGAGCCCCTCAAGTTACCTCACCACAGCAAGTGGAGCGGCCCTTTTCGCAGGGATGGGCTCTGAGCTCCACCCAAACCTCGAGGCCTTGCTATCCTGTTCAACCCGAATCAAGACGGACCCAGTACACCCGACTCATAGAGGTCGAAAAGACTCTGCCAGAGGACGCCATCACCGTCCTCGATCAACTGGGAGCAATAGGGGAGCCCACCAAAGCCCAACACAATCTCTCCCTGCGGATTCACTCTGCTCGATTAGTAGTGGACCTTCTGGAGCAGAGCTGGGCGATGGAAGTGATCCCACTCATGGGCCACACATAGCGACTGGAGATTTTCATTGTCCTCGGTGTTGGAGACTGGATGGTGGTAATTCCGTTTACTCACTCACTGCAGCTATCTCTAGCTCACGTCCCCTTTGCTGGTGCATTTCTCATAGGACTACCCTAGAAAGTCTTAGGAGCCTATGAATACCAGGACCAAAGTGGAAATCCTTGACAAATGGCCCCCCAACTAGTTTCTCCCACACGGGACGTAGAAAGAGGGTGCACAGGCAACCGCCAAGTGTCATAATCGTCTCTGACTCCGGCTTCGCAGCGCAGAAAGTGACAGGCGTCTACACAGGCGCCGAACTTTTCTGTGCGCACGAACCAAGCTTAAATTGCTCTGGTATGTGTATTTGAACATGGGCCACCCGAATATGTAACATCTGTCGAGGGCCTCAAGGCACACATCGCCATCCGTTACTCCAACATGGGCGAGGTGTGGATCTGTGACGTCTATGTCATAGACCCCATCTCTTCTCAGGACCCAACGACAAAACCCGCTCTAAGGAACACAAATACCGGAACCCGATCCAAGTGGGTCAGATTCCTTGCCATGGCGGCTGACAGATCCGTCTAATTCTCCCCAAGGGTGCTCCGGTACATACGACCCTATGCCAACCTTGCAACCAAAGGATTGCACAATGCGGAACCAGCGTCCCTGGACACTGTTTTTTTTTTTAATCATCCCAGTTCTCGTACAATAAGAGGGCCATTCTAAACGGAGTCACTTGCAAGTCAACACATGACTAGTGTGACTACTAGCCTGCCAGGTCAGCAGCGGCATGAGGGCTGGAACCTGGCTCCACGCGACCGCGCGCCATTCTTGGGTCTACAGAACACCGAGGACCTAATTCCTTTTCTCAATTCTCGGGTCGTATTTCATTTGACACATGTATTTTCTCTGTAAACGTTTGACGAAATGGGCCATTGTGTCGACATCGTGAACAACTAAGTGTTGCCTTCGTGCCTTGCATTCGGCATTGATACAGACTCCTCACACCAGACCAGACTGCATCCGTGCATGGGGTCGTAAGCACGGCTTACGGTTACTCCAGTCGCTAGATTCCATAGAAGATTCCTAGTTGGCCTGACAGGAGTGTGTGCTCCTGCACGCGCCTGACGGGACTCACGGAATCGCATCCGTCGTTACCTTCCGCGCTAGGCGCTCACGTGCAACCGCTGCGCGCCGAGCAACGATATTCCATCAACATAGTATCAGGAAAGTAGCGGTTTTAACGCGTTCTTTTGTACCAGCATTCGGCGTGATAACACCAGGTCGCTGTCTCCGCCGCCGCCGCCCATGCCGCGCCAGCCGCGGATGGTTCCGCTCAGCCATCTCCGCCTGCTCTCCGCCGTCGTCGCCGCGCTGCTTCTCTCACCCGCATGTGTCCGCTCCCCGCCACTTGCGCGCGCGCAGCTCTGGACCAAGTCGCAGCGTGAGTGACTTTCGCGGCGCCTCGGATCATGTCGCCACCGCGCTGATTCTATCACCCGCGTGTTCGCTCTCCCCGCCGCCGCCACTCCTAGCGCGCGCGTAGTTCTAGTAAGCGGAGTCCTCGTGCGCGCCGGGCCGGGCCGCGGCGTTCCTCGTGCGCGCCGTAGTCGTCGTTGGTTCTAGTACGGCCGGGGTATTACTAACAGAGCCTACACGCGCTTTGTAGGTTGTTGCTACTGTGTTGTGCGGCATCATGCGGCATCATGTGGCATCATGGAATGCAATGCGGCACCAAATATTTATTCCCCAGCATCCACAGCTGTGCCTCATGTCGTGGAGCCACATGATATCATGATGATGGCACTAGTAGTAGTGGTAAGGCTTCCACTGCCCACCTGCTTCTCTTCAGCGGAATCTAGGCATCGTAGAACGCAATGCACCGTCTTATACCCCGGCGATCCGTCAAACAGGAACTTCATTTTCCCCCGTCCCCTTTTCCAAATCCCAACTCCTCCCCTTCCCCGACCTGCCCCCTCTTCACCCCTTCTTCCCCGTACTCCTCCTTTATTTCCCGTTTTCCCTACTTCTTCTCCCGCCCCCGTCCCGCGTCCCCTTCCCCCTTGTCTCCCCCGGCAGTGACGTTTCTGACGGATTGCCAGGCGGCATGGACGCGCAGTTTCAGCGGATGGGACGCCACCTCCAACTGCAGCAAGGCCGTGTTCGTCACATGCGACCAGGACGGCATGCTCACCTCCATGTGCGCTCATGGATTGGCATGGTGTGGCATGGCATGGTCTGGCGTGGCATAGCATGGTGTGGCATGGCATAGCATGGGGTGGCATGGCGTGGCATGGCGTGGCATGCATGTCAACCACTCATGGGTTCCGCTTGTGCCACGTGCCACCTGTGAGGATTCTCCTAAATGACACATGCATCGCCTCGCCTCCCCCTTTCCTCTCTCTCCACCCGCCTTTTCCACCCTCCGCCCCTGCAGGGGTCTCGTATCCCAGTCGCTCACAGGGTTCCTGCCATCATCCGTGGGAGCTGCCACACGCCTCTCCAGTCTGTGAGTGCACATGTTGCTCCATTCTGGCTATATCAGCGTCACTTCTGAGAATTCTCAAGAGTTTCATGTGTAGGTTCTGTGCTGTGCTGCCGTGCTCGCTGCATTCCTGTGCATGGTTCGTTTGCATGCTCAGCTGTGTGTGTGTGTGCCTGTGCGTGCCTGCCTGTGCGTGCGTGCGTGTGTGTCCGCGCGTGTGTGTGTGTGTGCACGCATGTGCGTGCACGAATCCCAACAGGAGCTTCTACAACAACACTCTGAGTGGTTCCATTCCAGACACCATCGGCAACCTTCTCTCACTGAATCACTTGTGAGCCACACCAACCAGCCAACAGTGCAACAGTCCAACAGTGTAGCAGCGTTGAAGTGGAAAATTGGATTAGTGCACGGATGGGCATTTATGCACTCTTGAAGCGCCACCCACCAAAACAAAAGAAAACAGCCTGCCAATGTCGTTGAGCTTCCTCACTCTATCGCATACCCTTCTAAGGTATGCGGAAACCATACCACAGACAGTCGTCAGCCCCAGGTTCAAGATCTCACCCTCGTGTTCTCCGTGTGATGCTCTTGGCAGTGATATCGCGTCCAACAAGTTTTCAGGATTCTTGCCTTCCGCCATTGGGAAGCTCTCCCGGCTCACTTTCCTGTACACCCCTGCTTCACTGCCTTGCTTGGCCTCTTTGGATTGGGTAGATCGTGCTTGATCAGGCTTGAGCGTGCTTGATTGCGTTTTATTGTGCTTGACCATGCTTGACCATGATCGATCAAACTGCCAGCCTCCAGGTGGCCCATAGCGTGCACATGTGCTCGGTCCCTCTGCAGTCATCTGCCTTTCTCCATGATTCTACCAGCCTTCTCTCTCTTGCTACAAGTCCATCCTCCCATCCACAACACCCCGTATGCCATCTCCATTTCTCTTCCTACCCCACCATCCTCCGACCCTCTCACTCTCCCTCCACCCTCCTGTTGCCACACCCACACTCCCACGTCCCCACCACCACCACCACCACCACCACCACCACCACCACCACCACCACCACCATCACGCATGGCAGGACGGTGTCTCATAATCGACTGGAAGGCAATGTTCCCAAGACCATCTCCTCCCTCACCAACCTCCAGAAGCTGTCAGTCACATGCACGCATGGATGCACGGATGCAGTGTGCGTCTGTCCCTCTCGCCCTGCCCCTCTCGCCCTGCCCCTCTCGCCCTGCCCCTCTCGCCCTGCCCCTCTCGCCCTGCCCCTCTCGCCCTGCCCCTCTCGCCCTGCCCCTCTCGCCCTGCCCCTCTCGCCCGGCCCCTCTCGCCCTGCCCCTCTCGCCCTGTCCCTCTCGCCCTGCCCCTCTCGCCCTGCCCCTCTCGCCCTGCCCCTCTCGCCCTGCCCCTCTCGCCCTGCCCCTCTCGCCCTGCCCCTCTCGCCCGGCCCCTCTCGCCCTGCCCCTCTCGCCCTGCCCCTCTCGCCCTGCCCCTCTCGCCCTGCCCCTCTCGCCCTGCCCCTCTCGCCCTGCCCCTCTCGCCCTGCCCCTCTCGCCCTGCCCCTCTCGCCCTGTCCCTCTCGCCCTGCCCCTCTCGCCCTGCCCCTCTCGCCCTGCCCCTCTCGCCCTGCCCCTCTCGCCCGGCCCCTCTCGCCCTGCCCCTCTCGCCCTGTCCCCTCTCGCCCTGCCCCTCTCGCCCTGCCCCTCTCGCCCTGCCCCTCTCGCCCTGCCCCTCTCGCCCTGCCCCTCTCGCCCTGCCCCTCTCGCCCTGCCCCTCTCGCCCTGCCCCTCTCGCCCTGCCCCTCTCGCCCTGCCCCTCTCGCCCTGCCCCTCTCGCCCTGCCCCTCTCGCCCTGCCCCTCTCGCCCTGCCCCTCTCGCCCTGCCCCTCTCGCCCTGCCCCTCTCGCCCTGCCCCTCTCGCCCTGCCCCTCTCGCCCTGCCCCTCTCGCCCTGCCCCTCTCGCCCTGCCCCTCTCGCCCTGCCCCTCTCGCCCTGCCCCTCTCGCCCTGCCCCTCTCGCCCTGCCCCTCTCGCCCTGCCCCTCTCGCCCTGCCCCTCTCGCCCTGCCCCTCTCGCCCTGCCCCTCTCGCCCTGCCCCTCTCGCCCTGCCCCTCTCGCCCTGCCCCTCTCGCCCTGCCCCTCTCGCCCTGCCCCTCTCGCCCTGCCCCTCTCGCCCTGCCCCTCTCGCCCTGCCCCTCTCGCCCTGTCCCTCTCGCCCTGCCCCTCTCGCCCTGCCCCTCTCGCCCTGCCCCTCTCGCCCTGCCCCTCTCGCCCTGCCCCTCTCGCCCTGTCCCTCTCGCCCTGCCCCTCTCGCCCTGCCCCTCTCGCCCTGCCCTCTCGCCCTGCCCCTCTCGCCCTGCCCCTCTCGCCCTGCCCCTCTCGCCCTGCCCCTCTCGCCCTGCCCCTCTCGCCCTGCCCCTCTCGCCCTGCCCCTCTCGCCCTGCCCCTCTCGCCCTGCCCTCTCGCCCTGCCCCTCTCGCCCTGCCCCTCTCGCCCTGCCCCTCTCGCCCTGCCCCTCTCGCCCTGCCCCTCTCGCCCTGCCCCTCTCGCCCTGCCCCTCTCGCCCTGCCCCTCTCGCCCTGCCCCTCTCGCCCTGCCCCTCTCGCCCTGCCCCTCTCGCCCTGCCCCTCTCGCCCTGCCCCTCTCGCCCTGCCCCTCTCGCCCTGCCCCTCTCGCCCTGCCCCTCTCGCCCTGCCCCTCTCGCCCTGCCCCTCTCGCCCTGTCCCTCTCGCCCTGCCCCTCTCGCCCTGCCCCTCTCGCCCTGTCCCTCTCGCCCTGCCCCTCTCGCCCTGCCCCTCTCGCCCTGCCCCTCTCGCCCTGTCCCTCTCGCCCTGCCCCTCTCGCCCTGCCCCTCTCGCCCTGCCCCTCTCGCCCTGCCCCTCTCGCCCTGCCCCTCTCGCCCTGCCCCTCTCGCCCTGCCCCTCTCGCCCTGCCCCTCTCGCCCGCCCTGCCCCTCTCGCCCTGCCCCTCTCGCCCTGCCCCTCTCGCCCTGCCCCTCTCGCCCTGCCCCTCTCGCCCTGCCCCTCTCGCCCTGCCCCTCTCGCCCTGCCCCTCTCGCCCTGCCCCTCTCGCCCTGCCCCTCTCGCCCTGCCCCTCTCGCCCTGCCCCTCTCGCCCTGCCCCTCTCGCCCTGCCCCTCTCGCCCTGCCCCTCTCGCCCTGCCCCTCTCGCCCTGTCCCTCTCGCCCTGCCCCTCTCGCCCTGCCCCTCTCGCCCTGTCCCTCTCGCCCTGCCCCTCTCGCCCTGCCCCTCTCGCCCTGCCCCTCTCGCCCTGCCCCTCTCGCCCTGCCCCTCTCGCCCTGCCCCTCTCGCCCTGCCCCTCTCGCCCTGCCCTCTCGCCTGCCCTCTCGCCCTGCCCCTCTCGCCCTGCCCCTCTCGCCCTGCCCCTCTCGCCCTGCCCCTCTCGCCCTGCCCCTCTCGCCCGCCCTGCCCCTCTCGCCCTGCCCCTCTCGCCCTGCCCCTCTCGCCCTGCCCCTCTCGCCCTGCCCCTCTCGCCCTGCCCCTCTCGCCCTGCCCCTCTCGCCCTGCCCCTCTCGCCCTGCCCCTCTCGCCCTGCCCCTCTCGCCCTGCCCCTCTCGCCCTGCCCCTCTCGCCCTGCCCCTCTCGCCCTGCCCCTCTCGCCCTGCCCCTCTCGCCCTGCCCCTCTCGCCCTGCCCCTCTCGCCCTGCCCCTCTCGCCCTGCCCCTCTCGCCCTGCCCCTCTCGCCCTGCCCCTCTCGCCCTGCCCCTCTCGCCCTGCCCCTCTCGCCCTGCCCCTCTCGCCCTGCCCCTCTCGCCCTGCCCCTCTCGCCCTGCCCCTCTCGCCCTGCCCCTCTCGCCCTGTCCCCTCTCGCCCTGCCCCTCTCGCCCTGCCCCTCTCGCCCTGTCCCTCTCGCCCTGCCCCTCTCGCCCTGCCCCTCTCGCCCTGCCCCTCTCGCCCTGTCCCTCTCGCCCTGCCCCTCTCGCCCTGCCCCTCTCGCCCTGCCCCTCTCGCCCTGCCCCTCTCGCCCTGCCCCTCTCGCCCTGCCCCTCTCGCCCTGCCCCTCTCGCCCTGCCCCTCTCGCCCGCCCTGCCCCTCTCGCCCTGCCCCTCTCGCCCTGCCCCTCTCGCCCTGCCCCTCTCGCCCTGCCCCTCTCGCCCTGCCCCTCTCGCCCTGCCCCTCTCGCCCTGCCCCTCTCGCCCTGCCCCTCTCGCCCTGCCCCTCTCGCCCTGCCCCTCTCGCCCTGCCCCTCTCGCCCTGCCCCTCTCGCCCTGCCCCTCTCGCCCTGCCCCTCTCGCCCTGTCCCTCTCGCCCTGCCCCTCTCGCCCTGCCCCTCTCGCCCTGCCCCTCTCGCCCTGCCCCTCTCGCCCTGCCCCTCTCGCCCTGTCCCTCTCGCCCTGCCCCTCTCGCCCTGCCCCTCTCGCCCTGCCCCTCTCGCCCTGCCCCTCTCGCCCTGCCCCTCTCGCCCTGCCCCTCTCGCCCTGCCCCTCTCGCCCTGCCCCTCTCGCCCTGCCCCTCTCGCCCTGCCCCTCTCGCCCTGCCCCTCTCGCCCTGCCCCTCTCGCCCGCCCTGCCCCTCTCGCCCTGCCCCTCTCGCCCTGCCCCTCTCGCCCTGCCCCTCTCGCCCTGCCCCTCTCGCCCTGCCCCTCTCGCCCTGCCCCTCTCGCCCTGCCCCTCTCGCCCTGCCCCTCTCGCCCTGCCCCTCTCGCCCTGCCCCTCTCGCCCTGCCCCTCTCGCCCTGCCCCTCTCGCCCTGCCCCTCTCGCCCTGCCCCTCTCGCCCTGCCCCTCTCGCCCTGTCCCTCTCGCCCTGCCCCTCTCGCCCTGCCCCTCTCGCCCTGCCCCTCTCGCCCTGCCCCTCTCGCCCTGCCCCTCTCGCCCTGCCCCTCTCGCCCTGCCCTCTCGCCCTGCCCCTCTCGCCCTGCCCCTCTCGCCCTGCCCCTCTCGCCCTGCCCCTCTCGCCCTGCCCCTCTCGCCCTGCCCCTCTCGCCCTGCCCCTCTCGCCCTGCCCCTCTCGCCCTGCCCCTCTCGCCCTGCCCCTCTCGCCCTGCCCCTCTCGCCCTGCCCCTCTCGCCCTGCCCCTCTCGCCCTGCCCCTCTCGCCCTGTCCCTCTCGCCCTGCCCCTCTCGCCCTGCCCCTCTCGCCCTGCCCCTCTCGCCCTGCCCCTCTCGCCCTGCCCCTCTCGCCCTGCCCCTCTCGCCCTGCCCCTCTCGCCCTGCCCCTCTCGCCCTGCCCCTCTCGCCCTGCCCCTCTCGCCCTGCCCCTCTCGCCCTGCCCCTCTCGCCCTGCCCCTCTCGCCCTGCCCCTCTCGCCCTGCCCCTCTCGCCCTGTCGCTCCCTCCATGAATCTCTTCCCTTTCTTCTCTGCGTCTGTCCCACACTTATCGTTCTCAGCGCCTCCCTGCGTGTGTGTACCCACAAGCACCCACATGGACCCACAGTATCCCACTACTTTCCTTCTGGGAATACTCACAGCGCTCCCCCACGCACCCATGAGCATCTGCGTCCCTGTTTCCTTTCTGCAACCCCCGTTTCTACCCGTCTCTCTGCCATCCGGCCTGCGCTCTTTATCCCGTGTGTCTCCTCCCGACCCAGCAGGAGTATGTTCAACAACTCGTTCTCGGGTGACATCCCTCCTGCCATCTATGGACTCAAGGCGCTCAACTTGCTGTATGCCATGCATGCACCCATGCACCCGTAGGGTACAAGTAGTGCGGCGTGGTAGGCATAGGAGTGCGGGTCACAAGACTAGCTGAGGAGAGGGCGGGGAAAGGGGATAAGCTAGGGGGGTTGTTGAGGCGATTGGAAGAGAGAGACCATGATGCCATGCGTGTCCCCCCACGAGTTAAGGAGCTGGGAGCAGGGAGTAAAGGAGCGACTGCTTTTAAGGAGTCCTTTGGAGAATTCTCAAAAGCGACTCAGATCCCCCCCCACCTCGTGCATGAGCAGGGAGCTAGGGCGCAACTACTTCACGGGGTCCTTCCCCTCGCAGTTCGGTGACCTGGTTAACCTCCAGTACTTGTGAGGCCGCACCCTGCTTGCTCTCCACCGGCATGCGCCATGTGCCGATGTGCCATGTGCCTATGTACCATGTGCCATGTGCCTATGTACCATGTGCTTTATTGCATGTGCTGTCCACTATCCACGTACCTTGCTTCCTTCGAGGACTCGGCCCTGCTCTCGCCACACCACTTGAGAGCACTCCATCCACCATGCTGGGAATCAACATGGCATGTGCAATGGCATGGCAGGGAGGCGGGCTACATGGGTCTGACAGGCGAGCTGCACTCGAGCCTGGGCAACTTGAAGAAACTTCAAACGCTGTGAGTTGGAGGAGCAACACACCACACACGTACACCACACACACCACACATACAGCACACACACCACACACGTACACCACACACACCACACACATACACAACAGCATAAATGGCTTTCATATCCACGCCCAAATGCTACACCCATCTCACCACATAAAAACTTGGCAGAACAAACACAACACAACAGAACAAATCACGTCACACACAAAACACAACACACAGAATGCAGCAAACTCATTACCTGACGCTCGCCCGGCTCATGACTCAAAGTTCCACAATCCCCTTGTTTCCCCACACCCATTGCCGCACCCATCGCCCCACCCACCACCCCACCCACCGCCGCACCCATCGCCCCACCCATCGCCGCACCCACTGTCGCACCCATCGCCCTGCAGCGCTGTGCGTGAGAACGCCCTTCAAGGCAGCATCCCTGCCATTCTGGGTCGCCTTGGTGGTTTCACCATCATGTAAGCTACCAGTGGTGGAACGTGTATGAGTTTTGACACATTTTAAAGCTGCAGTATACATTTGAAAGGTTGGGTTCAAAAACTTTTGAAATTTGAAAAGTTGCCCCAAAGCTGTGAGGCACACAATAAAAACCCTAAACCCGGCTGACAAATGTATACTGCAGCTTTAAGAGAGATACAAGCAACTTCACTAGCCAGCAGAGCCAAACGTGACTGTTGGTTCGTCTTACAAGTCACCTCACTCTGGGTCGCAAAAAAAAAAGAGAGAAAACCCCCTTGTGTCTGCCAGAAGCACCATTTTTTTTTTTTTTTTTTTTTTTTCTATGCAGTCATTACCTAATAAACCTTCCCTCTTCTCGTCATTCCAATCTTTCCTCCCTCTCCACACACACCATCTCCTCGTTCCCCTCCACGAGCATCAGTCAGCTGGGCGGCAATCAGCTCACCGGCTCCATCCCTGCTTCCTTCTCCAACCTCGTCAACCTGCAAGGCTTGTGCGTTGCTCCTCCTCCCTCTGCTCCTCACCTCTCTGTGCCTCCCCTCTCTGCATCACTCCCTATTCAGCAACGGGATAATGAAACACTTTTGCGTTGCCTCCCTTACAACTCCCTCACCCCCTTACTCTTTCTCACCCTTCCCATCCCTCGACATCCTTCCCCACCTTCTCCTCCCCCGCGCCCTACCTGACTGCTGTCTCAATTGCTCCCTCCCATGCAGCTACATGTGGAATAATCAGCTGAATGGGTCAATGGATGTGATCACCAGATTTACCGCTGTGGAGCAGATGTGAGTCATGCTACCACCCAAGCTGCCATTTATGCTGCCATCCCTATTTCCACCCGTGCATTGGTGCGCTGTGCCATGCTCTGTCTATCGTTCCGCATCTTATTGAAAAGGCAGGAGCAACAAGAGCGAGCATCAGGTTCTTGGCCCCACATCCCTCACCGTGCACCACTCCCCTCTCTCACCGCCCATACGTGCACCCCTTTCGTCCGCAGAGCCATTCAGTACAACCAATTCACGGGGTCCATTCCCACGGCCATTGGGCTGCTGCAGTCACTCAACCACTTGTCAGTCGTGCCGTGGACATTTCCATGCCCATGCCCATGCCTATGCACATGCACATGCACATGCGCATGCATTGACACGCACATACAGACTCGCATGCACATACTTGCCATGCACACGTCTATTGTGGTCCACAGGCATGCGCGCGCGTGCTCGAGGCTGCAGGTGTTTTTTTTTCAGAATTCTCAAGAACCACCTTCTCAAGGCTCTGCTCCTCACCATCGTTCGAGCTGACTTATGAGTCACCTCACCTACTTGAGGCTCTCGAGGCTCTGGCGCTCACCATCATTACTCACACTCCTTGTGTGTCCCTTCATTCCTATTCACCATCCTCACCCTTTTCCTACCCCATCGCCTGGACTATCTGACCACATACCCATGCTGCCTCTCCAATCTCGCTTCGCTTAATGGCCTACCCTCTGCACCGCTGTTTCTACCCACTCGCACGGCCTCTGTCACCAGTCTCGTCGCCACCATATCCCTTCCCTCGGTTCGCTTTTTAAAACTCGTGTTCCCTGACACCCCTGTCTGATGTGGGCCCCTGCAATGCTGGATTGGCTCATTGGATGCCATGGGGCATGGGGTATGGGGCATGTGGCATGAGGCATGTGGCATGCGCATGTGGCATGGGCCTTGTGGCATGGGGCATGGGGAATGTGGCATATGGTATTTGGCATGTGGCATGTGTCATGTCGCACATTGCATGGGTGCAATGGCAGTGACGTATCGAGCAACAAGCTAACGGGTGAAATACCGACAACAGTACACAACCTCGTCAACCTCACCACCTTGTCAGTGCTGCCACAACCCACCTCTGGGCCCGGCTTCTGAGATTCTCCCTCTAGCAATGCTCTCCCTCTAGACACGCTCTCCCCGTGTGCATGCCCTCCTCCCCCTATGCACGCTCTTCCCCCTATGCACGCTCTTCCCCCTATGCACGCTCTTCCCCCTATGCACGCTCTTCCCCCTATGCACGCTCTTCCCCCTATGCACTCTCTTCCCCCTATGCATGCTCTTCCCCTATCCATGCTCTCCCGCTATGCTTACACTCCTATAGGCAGGCACCTGTTCATCTAACATCCACTACATACATGCCTGTCCCTCCCGACTAAGTGTCCCTTTCATTCTCCCCCCTTGTCCTCACTACCAAACTTCTCGCATGCATACATGCAAGCCGGCTTACGCGCGTGCCTCCATGCCTCCTTGCCTTTCACACACCCTGCATCCATGCTCCTGGTATTGGCCTGCTTTTCACATACACTCATCCGTCGCTTCCCCAGCCCTTCTTCCACAATGCCCCGTTCTGGTTCTTCTGACCGTGCCCCAACCCAACCACCGTCTCCTCCCTGTGCCAATGGTGCCAGCGTCACCACTCTCATCTCATTCCCTGTGCTTCCACCCTGCGTGCGGCACGGCAGCAATGTGTCGCACAACTATCTCACTGGCAACTTACCTGCCTCCATGTTCGCCCTCTCCAAGCTCACAAAACTGTACGCATTTGAGTCGACTCAAAAGCAGTCCCTCTCCAAAACTCACAAACTGTACGCACCTCGCACCTCACTTAATCCCTCTTTTTGTTTTCACTATTATTATCGCAAGAGCCGTACTGAAAGCTCACTCGTATATGTGCACCTCACCCTTCCCACCTCCAAAAACCCCACCCACCCGAGTCACCCTCCCTTTCTCTCTTGCGCATGCAATTTCTTCTCCATTTTTCAGGGCCTTTTTCTTCTGGCAGCAATTCGGCATCACACCTCTCCCTTTCCTGCTTCCTTCTCCCCTTTCAGAATTCGGAGAAGATATTTTGCCTGATACCTCTCTCTTCCCCGCTTCCTTCTCCCCCCTTCACTCCCTCCCCCTCCCCTCCTCCTGCCCCTCCCCTCCTCCTCTCCCTCCCCTCCTCCCCTCCTCCCCTCCTCCCACCACTCTCTCCACTCTCAGTGACGTCACACAAAACCCCCCAGGGCTGGTGACATGCCCGCCAATTGACGCGGTGGAGTGTGCAGCAATGACAAGCACTGACGTTGGGGCTTACTGCTTGATCTGTTCCGACTTCTGCATCAGATGCCCCTTTCTGAGTGAGTGTGCCGCCTGCCGCTGATTTGTCTGCAATTTCGGGTCACATGAGTGAGTGAGGGAGGGAGGGTTTGAGTGAGTGTGATCGAGTGAGTGAGTGAATGAGTGAGTTAATGGGTAAGTGGGTGAGAGGGGAGTGGGTGAGTGAGCAGGAGCCAATGGCATGACACAGCATGCTTGGATTGGGTACCGCCTCAAGCACCTCCCACCTCCCATCTCCCAACTGCACACGTCTCTTCCCCTTTCTTCTTTGCGCCTGCACTCAGCTTTTCAGCTCCCCTTTCCCCCTCATCAGGTGATGAGACGACGCCTCTTTAGAGGCCTCAAAGAATCTCCTTGCCATCATATTCATCGTCCCCTTTCTCTACCTGCCAACAACACATGCCGCTCTCCTGCCCACATCCTCCATCTCACACTCACCGCATGCTCCTCCTTTATAACCCACACAACTTCCCACTCTTCCCCACCCTCTCTACCTCCCCCCTCTTTTCCCCCAACACCTTCCTCCTCATGACTACTTGGTAGAATTGTTCAAGCCACCACCATCAGTGCCACCAGTCATCCTCCCTCCACCAGTCTCCCCACCACCGTCACTCCCCTCACCTGCACCACCCTCTCCCGCCATCTCAGCTCCACCCCGTTCACCAACATCCCCTCCTCCTTCCCCTCAGCCCTCTCCGTCCTCTCCTCCCCCTTCTCCCTCTCCTACCTCACCTCCCTTCGTTCCATCGCCCTCTCCTCCGCCTCCGCCTTCCTCCGCGGGGCTATCAGTGGGGGCCATTGCGGGGATTGCCGTGGCGGGTGTTTCCGTGCTCGCGCTGCTGCTGCTCGTGCCGCTGCTCTTCTACCACAAGTGGAAACAACCAAAGCCGTTCTCGCAGATTGATGATGATGCCGCCGCTGCTGCTGCAGCAGCAGCTGCTGCATCCGCCTCAGCCGCTGCTGGTGCCTCAGGTATATACGAGTGGTAGGACAAGTGTTGCTTGAGCCCACTTTGTTCTAGAGGACTCTGCTGCTGCACCAGATGAGTGGTTCCTCATTTCAAAAGGTTCTTCTCCTCAGGTAGAGGAATATGAGAGGCTGTTCTTGAGTCAGCCGAGCAGGAGGTTGAATGGCAAGACAAGGGTGATTTGTGAGTCCACTTTTGAGACGTCTCAAGAGCTTGGATTGGAAGGGTGTTGGTATTTCTTGAGCTGGCTCAACATACGCCTCAAAACTCCTCCACACCGCACCCCTCTCACCCACCACTCTCCCGCACCCCCCATCCCCAACCATCTCCCCCTCCCCTCTCTACAGGGAGTGCGAGTGGGTCCAAGGGTCCCTCGGGGCCAGCGCAGGCAGCGGGGCCGGCGGTGTGTAGGCAGTACCAGCTGGAGGTGCTGGCAGCGGCAACGGGCATGTGGGCGGAGGCCAACAAGATCGGCAGCGGGGGGTTCGGGGATGTGTATCGTGCTGAGGACCCCGCCGACCCCTCCACGCTCTGGGCTGTCAAGCGCGCCAAAGTGCTCACCAATGACTTCCGACGGGAGGTGAGAGGCATGGGGTGTGGATGGGACTAGCAACTGCGATCCCAGTGCTCACCAATCACTTCCGCCGCGAGGTGGGCAGGGTGGAGGTGTGCAGGGGGTGCCGAGGTGGGAGAGCGGGGTTGAGTAGGGGGATGGGGGTTGGGGACGTTGCCTCGTTTGATGAATGAGAAGTTCTCTGTACCACTCTGCCTTCACGCTTCCTTCTCACGCTCCCGCTCTTGTTCCTGCTCCTCTCTCCTCCCTCGCCCTCCTCATGGCTATCCACCCTGTGCCGTGTGCGCATGCAGGTGAACGAGATGGCATCGAAGCACCACCCACACCTGGTGCGGCTGCTGGGGTTCTGCATTGACGTGAACAAGGCCACAGAGCAGACGGAGCAGATCCTCATCTACGAGTTCATGCCCAACGGCGACCTCGAACGCTGGCTCGGCCCTGGTGTGTTACTCACTCACTTTCCATGGCCTCTCTTGTGCTGGCTCGCTTGTCCGCACTTGTCCTCACTTGTCCTCTCGTACAGTTAACACGAGTGCATACACTTCGTACTCACATGTGGTGACTTGGAGATTACGCGAGGCTCGTTTAGTCATCTGTGTGCGAGTCTGTTGCATGATGTGAAGTGCGGTCCATGTGCTAGGAGAGATTCTCGGTTATTTATTTCCTGAATGCATGTCTCTCCCACCAATGTCGTCACCACCACTGCTCGAGCACTTCCTGCTGCCCACCTTCGCGCTTGGCACTTGGCAGTGCGATGCTCCCACACGTCCCACCCAGGACGTCCCTCTTCACAGCACCTCTCTGCCTTTTCCTCCTCTTCCCCGCGTGTCTCTTTTGTTCCTTCCTTCCCTGCTGCAGGTGCCGCCCAGCCGCTCTCTCTGCTGCAGCGCTTGGATGTGATGATCGGAGTGGCGGAGGGGTTGCAGTATCTGCACAGCTTTGGCATCGTGCACCGTGACATCAAGCCCGCCAACATCCTGCTGGACTCCAACATGCAGGTGAGCACACGGAGCTATACGGCTTCGTAGCATCTCTGCGCTTGCGTTCAGTGCCATGCCATGCCAGCACACAACATACCTACATGTGCTTCGCTGATGCCTGCTGGATGCGGCTTTCATGCGCTGTGGCAGCAAGGAAGAACCCAGCAAAGGTAGCACCAAGGAAGCAGGAGGTGTGTTGTTGGCGTCTTTTGTCTTGTTGTTTCTTCTCCATTGGCTGCCTGTACTGTCCATGCCTCGGCAGGTAAAGATAGCAGACTTCTCTCCTTGCTTCCTCTTTGTTGGCTGCACGGCCCATCCACGGCAGGCAAAGGTAGCAGACTTTGGGCTGGTGAGGATGGGCGAGGGCACCACAGTGGGAGCCACGCGGGTGATGGGCACACCGGGCTATGTGGACCCGGCTTACTACAAGTCACAGAAGGCCACCCCCAAGGCTGATGTGCACAGGTATGGGTGATGTGCACAGGTATGGGTGATGTGCACAGGTATGGGTGATGTGCACAGGTATGGTTGATGTGCACAGGTATGTTTGATGTGCACAGGTATGGGTGATGTGCACAGGTATGGGTGATGTGCACAGGTATGGGTGATGTGCACAGGTATGGGTGATGTGCACAGGTATGGGTGATGTGCACAGGTATGGGTGATGTGCACAGGTATTGTTGATGTGCACAGGTATGGGTGATGTGCACAGGTATGGCTGATGTGCATGGGTCGGAGACAAGTGTGAGGCGCCTCAATCAGAACTGCACGGGTCAGAAACACTGCCCAAAACCCTTGTGTTCCGGTGTCGTCCTTGCAGTGCATGCTGTGCTTTTCGGTCTACTAAGTGAATACCATTCGTTCGTCTCTCTTCCGTGCCCCGTACCTCCCGTACCTCCCATGCATCCCTCGCCCCTCATAGCTTTGGAGTGGTGATGCTCACGATCCTGACGGCACGCAAGGCCATCTACAACTCGGAGGACAACCAGATCAACCTCAAGCAATGGGTCCGTGCCCTCCCGCCCTCGCCTCCCTGCTCCTACTCCTCCTGCACACGCCCATGCTCATGACGCTCTTGCTGTGCTCATGCCATGCTCCAGCACATCTCCATGCCCATGCCATGCCCATGCACTTGCATGAGCTCTCGCTCTCTTCCATCCCTGTGGGCATGCATGTGCACGTGTGCACCTCGACCATCTCCCACTCATCCCTATGCGTCCTCCGTCGGTCGTCATCGGCCAAAGCACCATATTCCTCACCGTCACCCTGTTTCTCTCCTCCCTCATCTCCCTCCTCTCCTCTCCTCTCCTCTCCTCTCCTCTCCTCTCCTCTCCTCTCCTCTCCTCTCCTCTCCTCTCCTCTCCCCTCCCCCTCCCCTCCTCTCCCCTCCTTTCCTCTCCCCTCCTCTCCTCCCCTTTCCCCTCCTCTCCTCCCCTCTCCCCTCCTCTCCTCCCCTCTCCCATCCTCTCCTCCCCTCCCCTCCTCTCCTCTCCTCTCCCTTCACCTCCCCCTTCCACCTCCCACCCCGCACCCACCAGGTGGCACCATTCATAGCAGCCAATGACGGGGTCACCTTCAAGGACCCCTCTCTGGAAGCCCCACCAGACATTATCCTGCGCCTGGCACGCCTGGCTCTTTCCTGCACCGCCATGCCCACTGTGCTCCGCCCCAACATGATCAAAGTGCTTGCTGAATTGGAGGCTCTGCGCGAGGAGGTCTGCGGTGCTACCCGTAACCAGATGGCGAGGCGGATTGACCGGGAGATTGAGGACAAGCAGGGGCACAACCTGGAGGAGGAGTTGGCGAATGCGATTAGAATAGGGTCGAGCGGAGATGATGGAGAGAGTAGGAAACGCAGTGAGTGAGTGAGGGAGTGATGAGGAGGGCTGTGGCCCTGTATGAAGGGCGGTGGATTTACAGTATCAGGTGATTTGGTAGGAATGTGTGTGTGTGTGCGCTGCCTTATCAGGACAGCTATTTTTTTAGGCGGCTCTACTATTGCCTTAGTAGGAATGTCTTTGTGTGTCCTTGTATTCATGCCACGAGGGATGGTCAAATTTGACATAAGTGAACGAGGCGGTTCTCGAGGAGGCACACAAAATAGCTACCGTAATCCTGCGGATACAAGACCCCCTGCAGTGCAACACCCCCAGGTCTTCAATACGGGGCTTGAAACTTTATGTCGGTATGATTGAGTTATACTCAGGCCTCTGGATAGGATCTGATGTACTCTTTCTCGTAAGGCCAACACCCAGCTTTCACTTTTTCTGTAATGGTTCCTCACAAAAAAATATAAATTTTCATTGGTGTTTTTCAAAATTCTGTATTGTGAAAGTGAAGCCGCCTATACCGAATATTTGGCATCGTCGAAGCGCGCTAAACGCCATTCTCCAACTACAAAAACCGTGGGTTGGAGTTCATTCCCTCCACCCACGTTTCTCGTTGTTTTCCAACGGCTCAATCAACATCCCCACCACCCACCCCGGACCAACTACCAGACCACGGCTGCTTGGACGGACGACTCCATAGCTAGTAATATTGCATGTACTAGCATGTGTTCAAGAACGATGCATATGTTGTAATAAGCCAGTTGCAATGAGCACACTCACCCTCGACGAACGGAGGACAGACAGACCCAGACTCAGCAACAAGACTAACACGAGTAGTCGTCGACAACCAGCAGAAAGTACCGCTCACCGCCCTATCCACGAACGCGGGCTGGGCCCCACACGTCCAGGTGGAGGGTCTGCAGAGGAGCCTCTGTCGGGGGAAACGAGGAGGAGTGAGGAGCGGCGCGCTGCCGCCCCTCGACGCAAGGAAGGCAGGGCGGCGCAGGCGAGGCAGGGAGGGGAGGAAGAGACCTGGGAAGACCAGACACAAGGAGGCGACGGTGCATGCCACGTAGACGTGGCAGGGAGGGGTGACCCAGGCGGTGGTGCCGGAGAAGAGTCTGGTGCGACAGGGAGCGACACTCATAAGGGGAGGCTACCTGACCTGACGCAGACACCTGACCAGTAGCAGCTACCTGAGGAGGCGCAGTCGTCAGTGTGTTAAGACTCGACCCTGGCCGACGGGTAAACGTGGCCAGGTGGCGGCCGGTCTGGGAGCACGTACAGATCGCCACACGCTGCCGACCAGGGGTGAAGGTGTCAACCCCCGCATCCTGGAGGACAGCAGTGCTCACCAAGTTTGTAGAGAACGAGGGGAGGTGGAGACCTGACAGTGAGCCAGACGGAACCGCCGGGCACGGGAGCACAGTGGTGGACCGTGCAAGAACTGGGCCCCCTGAGGGGTCAGCCAGAGAGACTGCAACAGGTGCAGGGAGTGGTGTGAGTGCAGTACTGTCATGAAAGAAGCAGCGGGAAGCACCTGAGTCAAGCGTGAAGGTGTGCAAGGCCTCAGTAGGCGCAGTACCTGAGAGAGCAGACTCGCTCGCACCTAAGGCAGCAGCCTCACCAGCACCTAGAGTACCAGTCTCTATACCAGGGTCAGGCGGCACACACAAGTAACAGTCACCATCAGCACTAATCTCCAATGCATACATGGCAGAAATAATTGTCAAACATTGTATATGTTTCTATTCTGTAGGCTATAGTGGGTTTAGCCTTAGGGGGTACAACATTCTAGGTTTTCCTACTTGTACTCCCAATGTTGTTAGTTCATCATCCTTCTCTCATTCTGACATGGTATCAGAGCCTAGGTTAGTCAGCCAGCTCGGCCTGTTGCTGTCTCCCTGGCTGACCCCTCAGGGGGCCCGGTCCTTGCGACCTCCTCCACTGTCCTCCCTTGTCCTGCGGTCCCGTCCGGCACCCTGTCTGGTCTTTACCTCCCCTCGTTCTCTACGAACTTGGTAGCGGGCTCTGCTCTCCAGGATGGGGGTATTCACCAGTTCACCCCGGCCCATGAGCGTGTGACCCACTGCACGTGTGCTCGGACGGGTCGCCACCTGGCTACCTTCAATCGGCAGCCGGGGTCGGACCTGTACACACTGACCACTGAGTCCCCTCAGGTAGCTGCGTCTGCGTTTGCGTCAGGTCAGCTGTCAGCCCCCTGCTCGTGTCGCTCCCTGTCGCACGAGACCGTCCTCTGGCACCACTGCCTTGGTCACCCGTCAGTGCAGCGCCTTCGTGGCATGCACTCCCGGTACCTTGTCTCTGGTCTTCCCAGAGTTCTCCCTCCCCTCCCACCCTCGCCTGCTCCTCCCTGTCTTCCCTGTGTCGAGGGGCGGCAGCGCGCCGCTCCTCACTCCTCCTCGTTTCCCCCGACGACTGCTCCCCTGCAGACCCTCCACATGGACGTGTGGGACCCAGCCCGCGTCCGTGGACAGGGTCACGAGAGGTACTTCTTGATAGTTGTTGACGACTACTCGCGCTACACCACGGTCTTCCCCTTGCGCACCAAGGGTGAAGTCCCTGATGTTTTGATCCCTTGGATCCGCGCTGCCCGTCTCCAGCTCAGCGAGAGGTTCCACTCGGACTTTCCTGTCCTGCGTCTGCACTCTGACAGAGGTGGGGAGTTTTCCTCCGACCTCTTGAGGGACTTTTGTCGTGGGGAGGGCATTGAGCAGTCGTTCACGCTTCCGGCCTCTCCACAGCAGAATGGGGTTGCTGAGCGCCACATTGGCTTGGTCATGGAGGTCGCTCGTACCTCCTTGATCCATGCGGCTGCCCCCCACTTTCTGTGGCCGTTTGCGGTCCGATACGCTGCGCATCAGCTCAACCTCTGGCCCCGTGTCTCCGTTCCGGAGACTTCGCCGACACTGCGTTGGACGGGAGAGGTTGGCGATGCGTCGGTGTTCCAGGTCTGGGGATCTCGTGCTTTTGTCCGCGATACGTCCGCGGACAAGCTCTCCTCCTGCGATGTTCCTTGTGTCTTCCTTGGCTTTGTCCCGGACGCGTCTGGTTGGCAGTTTTACCACGCTACCTCACGCCGTGTCCTGCCCTCTCAGGACGTCACTTTCGACGAGTCGGTCCCCTACTACCGCCTCTTCCCCTACCGCACTGCCCCGCTCCCCCCCCCGCCTCTCTTCCTCGCACCAGGTGCTGCTGTGGTAGACCCCCTCCCCCCTCAGGGTGCCGCTCCCTCAGGTGTGTCCCAGGTAGACCCGGTTGAGCCTGTCGAGGTAGCTGTCAACTCTCGTCCTGCTAGGGGTGCTGAGCCTGAGCGTGCGGAGCCTGGGGGTGCGGAGCCTGGGGGTGCTGAGCCTGAGCGTGCGGAGCCTGGGGGTGCTGAGCCTGCGGGTACGGAGCCTGGGGGTGTGGAGCCTGGGGGTGCTGAGTCTGGGGGTGCTGAGCCTGAGAGTGCTACGTCTGAGGGTACTGAGCCTGGGGGTGCTGCGACTGACCGTGAGGCGCTTGGAGGCGCTCCCTCTTCACAGCAGCTGCGTGAGTGGTACTCGCGGTACTGCAGCCTCAGGAGGGGCGCTTCTGGGGCTAGGGGTGCTGCTGGAGCTGGTGGTCGTGGTTCCCCGCCTAGGCGGGAGCCGCCCTCTCCTTAGCGGCTCCGAGATCGGTACGCTCAGCGCTGCAGTCTCTGGAGTAGCACTGCTGGTGCTTTGGACCCTGGAGCTGGAGCTGCTGCTGGTGCTGAGGACCCTGGAGCTGGAGCCGCTGCTGGTGCTGCGGACCCTGGAGCTGGTGCTGCTGGTGCAGGAGCTACTGCTGGTGGTGCTGCTGGAGGTGCTGCTGGTACTGGAGCTGCTGGAGGTGCTGCTGGTGCTGGAGCTGCTGGAGGTGCTGCTGGTGCTGCTGGAGGTGCTGCTGGTGCTGGCGCTGCTGGAGGTGCTGCTGGTACTGGAGCTACTGGGACTGGAGCTGCTGCGGGAGTTGGAGCTGGAGGTGCTGGAGCTGCTGGAGCTGCTGGTGGTGCTGCGGGAGTTGTAGCTGGAGACCCTGGAGCTGAGGGCGCTGGTGCTGTCTCTGCTGGTTCAGGAGGAGCTGCGCGGTCGCGGCCATACTACGTTCCGCTCCTTCAGCAGGTTCTTGGCCTCCCGCCCCCTACTGGTCCTACTCCTCCCCTACTGAGTCCACCGCCTGTCCAGTCGCAGTCACAGTTACAGCCTGCCTCTCCGCTGCCTAGTCCGTCTCCTTACGCTGGGCCGACTAGAGGTCTTACGGAGCGTCGTGAGCCTGAGTCTCGTCCTGCGTCGCCTGAGTCTCGTCCTGCGTCGCCTGAGTCTCGTCCGGAGTCGCCTGTCCGTGCTGCCCGCGCTGGTCGTCGTGTTCCGCGTGAGCGTCCTCCTCCTGTCCCTTGCACTCACTATATGACTCTGCGTCCTTCCACTGCTCCACAGCGTGTCCCTCTGCCGTCTCCTCCAGCGTCCTCTCTTCCTGCTCTTGCTGACCCGGAGTCTGACTCCCTTCGTGCTGCCAGTCCTACTGTCACGCGTCTCCTGGCCACTGTTGTCACTGACCCGTCGTTTGAGTCCACTGCTGCGTCTGCCCTAGTTGCTGAGCTTGTTGACTTTGCTGCCGCCTGTCGTCTAGACTACGCCGCTAGCCTTGTTGCTGAGTCTGGGTCTGAGTCTGTCTGTCCTCCGTCCGTCGGGGGTGAGTGTGCTCTTGGCACGGACGTCCTTGAGGACAGGCAGGAGGAGTTTGAGTGCTTTGCCGCTGCCTTTCCTCATCTCGTGTCCATGCTGATTGCCCCTGAGGGAGACCCGGATGCACCAGACATCCCGACTCCGCGCTCTTACGCAGAGGCGATAGAGGGTCCCTACTCCTCTCAGTGGCAGTCAGCCATGGACGCAGAGATGGCTTCCTGGAAGTCCACAGGCACCTACGTCGACGAGGTTCCCCCGCCTGGGGAGAACATCGTCAGTGGCATGTGGATTTTCAGGGTGAAGCGGCCGCCAGGGTCTCCGCCT